CTACCCGCTGGTCCCCTATTATTATCATTATTTTCTAGCTTGCTATAGGGCACGTGTACTCACCTGAGAGAGACAGAAAGAGAGAGGGAAAGTGAGAAAGCAAGTTACCAGGTGTGAGATTTGAACCCTGGTCAGCCATGTGGGAGTCCAGCACCTTTAACCAGCATGCCACCTGCTGGTCCCTTTTTATTTATTTTTATTATTTATTTTTTTTTTAAGAAGTTTTTGCTATAGGGCACATGCGCTTGCCAGAAAGAGAGACAGAAAGCGAGAAATCACCGCCCGGGTGGGGGGGATGGCCACGCCGCAATCCCTTCTCCTCCCTTCTCTCGGGATCTTGGGCACACACACACACACGCCCAGCATGAGTTTAAGCCACTGGGTCTGGGACTTGAACCGCGGTCGACTACATGGAGTCCAGCGACATAGCCATGGCACTAACTGCTGGTTCCATTATTATTATTTAGAGAGAGATTTTTACTATGGGGCACGTGTACTGGCCAGAGAAACAGAGAGACAGAAAGTAAGACATCACCCCCCCACCCCCACCCCAGGAGGATTGGCTACACTGCGATCCCTTCTCCATTCCCCTGTCAGGATTTTCAGCACGCACACACACACGCCCAGCATGAATTTTAAGCCTCTGGGTCCAGGACTCGAACCACAGCTGACTATGTGGGAGTTCAGCAACATAACCATTGTGCCATCTGCTGATTCCTTTATTATTTTTTTCAAGTTTTTGCCATAGGGCACATGTACTCTCTGGAGAGAGAGAGAGACAGAGAGACAGAGGGAGGGGAGTCAAGAAATCACCACCACCCCTCCCTAAAGCTGATGAACACGCTGCAATCCCTTCTCCATTCTCCTCTTGGGATTTTGGGTATGCACACACACGTGCCTGGTGTGTTTTTCAAGCTGCCGGGCCCAGGCCTCGAACCATGCCGTCAGCCCTGTGTGAGTCCAGAGCTTTAACCACCACGCCGCCTGCTGGCCCTCTTGTCTCCTCAGGGCCTTGATGTTCCCATCTGGAAGATGGATCTGTGCACCTCCACCAGAAGAAACCTTCAATCTTGCGTCTCCAGCTCCCAACAGCCACCATGGCACAGATGGCCAGACCCTCCTGGGGGGACAAGAGGAGGCTCCCTTGTCCCTGTCCCCTGAGACACGCAAGCAGCGACAGTTTGGACATCAAAAGTGTTTTTACTAAAAGGATCCATTCCAGGCGGGGGTATTCGAGTCCGTGCCGGGGTTCACAGTGATAGCGGAGAAAGTCTCTTTACCCAAGTGGCCATTGGCCCAACCCACACAGTGGCTGAGACCCCCCACAACCAGGACTGAAGACACCTGAGGATGTCCCTCCTGCCTTTAAAAAACCCAACCCACCCTTCCTGGGGCAGAGGTGGCTGAGCGTGTAAACAAGTCCTGAGGTCCCCCCCAAACCTTCTCAGTGTTGCTTCTTGTGAGAGGCCTGGGACCCCGGGGGTTGGGGCTGCAGGAAGAAGGCAGGCCGTAGTAGACAGCGGAAGGCCAGCAGGTGGGGGCCCAGCGCGTAGAGCAGGTTGCTCAGGAAGAAGCAGGCCCAGGTGTCCTCGGGTACCCGGTAGGTGAACGGCGTGCGCAGGTGCATGGAGGCACCCATGTGCGAGAACTGGGCCTGGCAGCCAGATGGGGAAGAGGGATGTCAACAGCCAGAAAGAGACAAAGCACCTGCCTCACTGACTAACCGGGGCCTGCTGAGCCAGACAGACTCCATCTTGTTAAAATCAAAAACCAAGGGGACCAGCAGTTAGCGTAATGACTGTGTTGCTGGACTCCCACGTAGTTGACTGCAGTTCGAGTCCCGGACCCGGTGGCTTAAACTCATGCCGGGTGCTTGTGCGTGCGTGCCCAAGACCCCGAGAGGAGAATGGAGGAGAAGGGGTTGCGGCGGGGCCATCTCCCCTGGGGGGTGAACTGCGGTTGACTACTTGGGAGTCCAGCGACATAGCCATTATGCTAACTGGTGGTCCCCTTGTTTTTTTTTTTTTTTTTAGAGAGAGGTTTTTTTGCTATAGGGCATATGTGCTCACCAGACAGGGAGAGACAGAGAACCAGAAAGTGAGAAATCCCCCCCCGGGGAGATGGCCACACCGCAATCCCTTCTCCTCCATTCTCTTCTCGGGATCTTGGGCATACACGCACACACACCCGGCGTGAGTTTAAGCCACCGGGTCCGGGACTCGAACTGCAGTCAACTACGTGGGAGTCCAGTGACATAGCCATTATGCTAATTGCTGGTCCCTCTGAGGTTTCTCACAAGGACTCCAAGGAGAAAAATAGCCCACCTGAAGTAAGGGATGCTGGTAAAACTCCTGTTTTGAAGATGATTTTTTTTTTTTAAGTTCTTGCCATAGGGCACATGCACTCATTGGAGACAGAGAGAGGGAAAGTGAGAAATCACCCCTCAAGGGCGATGGCCACACCGCAATCCCCTCTCCTCTATTCCCTCTTGGGATTTTGGGAACACACACGCACGCATCTGGCATGTTTTTCAAGCCTCTGGGCCTAGGTCTTGAACCACGCTGTCAACCATGTGAGAGTTCATTACCTTAACCACCATGCCACTTGCTGGCCCCCGAAGATGAACTGTTTACTTGTAACCCCTTAACTAAAACTGAAACTCCCGTCTGGAAGACAAATCTTCCAATTGTGCCCCCCCCCAACCCCCAGCTAAAAATTAACCTGATCTAGGGGCCGGCAGGTGGGGTGGTAGTTAAGGGGGCTGACTCCCACAGGGCTGACTGTAGTTCGAGTCCCGGACCTGGTGGCTTGCTTTCTCACTTTCTCTCTCTCTCACTCTCAGTTCCTCTCTGATCAATTAAAACAAAGTTAAATAAAAATAATTCTTAAGGGAACCAGCAGTTAGCGTAATGGCTATGTCGCTGGACTCCCACGTAGTTGACCGCA